CCTCCTGGGAATCGAGCCTGCAACCCGGGCATGTGCCCTTACCAGAATTGAACCTGGGACTATTCAATCTGCAGGCCGACGCTCTATCCACTGACCTAACCCAGCTAGGGCCCCACTGATCTTTTAGAGAGAGTGGAAGAGAGGGGGGAAAGACAGAGAGAAACATCGACGTGAGAGAAACACATCCATCGGTTGCCTCCCGCACCTGCCCCGAACCAGGGCCCGGGCCGAGGAGGAGCCTGCGACTGAGGTACGTGCCCTTGACCGGAATCAAACCCGGGACCCTTGGGTCCACAGGCCCACGCTCTGTCCACTGAGCCACACCAGCTAGGGACACGGTGCCTTATTTCTAGCGCAGTGATGGTGAACCTTTTGAGCTCAGCGTGTCAGCATTTTGAAAAACCCTAACTTAACTCCGGTGCCATGTCCCATATAGAAATTTTTTGATATTTGCAACCATAGTAAAACAAAGATTTATATTTTTGATACTTTATATATTTAAATGCCACTTAACGAAGAAAAATCAACCAAAAAGATGAGTTCGTGTGTCATCTCTGACACGTGTGTCGTAGGTTCGCCATCGCTGTTCTAGCGTGTGATTGACATGGTCTCCGTGGCAACCACGCCACGCCCTGCATCCCCTGAGTCCCCAGAAGCTACAGAAAGCCAACCAAGACCACCCCATGCCCCCTAAACCCCTTCCACGGCGGGTCCTACATGCAAGACAACCCCACCCACCGCCCAGCGCAAGCGAGCCGAGCCGTGCAAGTGGAAGAGAAGGGAGGGCGAGGAGAGAGGTGGCGGGATGCGGGGGGGCGGAGGGGGGAGTGGGGAGCAGAAAGGAAGCCGGCACAGCCCAGCGCGGCCCTTACTTTTCTGGCAGTGGTCCTGGGTCCAGCAGCGGTAGTTGTACTCGTTGTTGATGGTGGTCCGGTCGCAGGTGGACTTCCCCTCCAGGGCCCCCGGGCACACGTCGCCGCACTCCTTGGGGGACTTGTTCCCCACCACGTAGTTGTTGGACACGGCGTCGAGGATGAGGGACCAGTCCACGGTGGACAGGTAGCAGAGGTCGGCGTTCTTCTCGATGCGGATGGCGCCGCGGGTGATGTTACGCAGGTTGCGCAGGCCGATGTCCTTGAGGTTGGTCATCTCGAAGATGACCAGCGCGTAGTTGTAGAAGAGCTTCCAGCCGCGGATGACCGTGAGGTTGGGGAACAGGTCGCCGATGCTCTCCAGGCCGGCCACGCGGAACAGGAGCAGGTACTCGGTGATGACCGTGAGCTTGGGGAAGCGGTAGCTGCGGTAGTCGTCGCCCTTGGAGATGAGCAGGATGTGCAGGTAGCCCTCGATCACCGTGCAGTTCTCCAGGCGCTTCAGCTGCTGGAAGTCGTTGCGGATGTCGATGCCGGGGCCGCAGACTGCAGAGGGGACACAAGCAGGCGGGGACGCGCGTGAGTGACAAGTCGTTACTTTTATTTTGTTGTTGTTGTTGTTAATCCTCACCCGAGGATATTTTCCCCATTGATTTTTTCAAAAATATATCGATGTGAGAGACACACATCCATTGGTTGCCTTCTCCACACGCCCTGACCAGGGCCAGAATGGAGCCTGCAACGGAGGTAGGTGCTGCCCTTGGCCGGAATCGGACCTGGGACCCTTCAGTCTGCAGGCCGATGCTCTATCCACTGAGCCAAACCGGCCAGGGCAAAAGGAACCTGTAAACCATGAGGTCATGGTTCCACTCCCAGTCAGGGCACAGGCCCGGGTTGCGGGCTCCATCCCCAGTAGGGGGCGTGCAGGAGGCAGCCGATCCATGATTCTCTTTCATCATGGATGTTTCTCTCCCTCTCCCTCTCCCTTCCTCTCTGAAATCAATAAAAAAAATAATTTTTAAAAAGTCGTATTTCCACTGTGCTTAATGGGTTAAAAAAGAAGAAGAAGAAAGAAAAAGGAGTGGAGAGGGAGTGTCCCTAGAGCCCACGGCCCCTGAGGCTGCTGAATCGGCAGTCCCACCCCCTCTCCCCCCGCCCCCCGTCTGAGATGTGAGCAAACCCTCCACGTGCAGAGGGAAACGGCATGGCTTTCCTTCCACCCACGCCTACTCAGTACACTGCAACTCCACCAAAAAAAAAAAAAAAAAAGAAAAAAAAGATGGGGCTGGAGATGCTGTTATGATAACAAACACTGATACTGCTATCGTCGAATTTGTTCGAGTGGAATTTTCTGTGTTCAGTGTAAACAGACGCAGTTCATGTTAAGCCTTTTATCTTCACGTGTCAATGGGAACGTGTTTACATTGTATATATACATGCGTCTCCCCCGCAGACAACCGTCCCCGCCACCTGGCACGTTCAGGAGGCAATCGTGAGGATGGAAGCGAGGGATTGCATTTCACGGGGGAACGCTGGGAGCAGGAAATTAAACACGAAGCGTCAGTCATTGTCAATGGGCAAAAACTGTTCGGCGCCGCACGCGAGAGCCATCGCTGTCCTGCCTGGAACCAGGACCGAACAGCTCAGGCACGCAGAAGAGGGAGGTAGTCCTGGCCCTGGCCGGGTAGCTCAGTTAGTTAGGGCATCATCCTGATACACAGAGGTGGTGGTTGGTTCAATCCCTGATCAGAGTGTGTACAAGACTCGACTGATGGTCCTCGCCAGCATGGCTCAGTGGTTGGAACGTCAGCCCGCGCACTGGAGGGTCATGGGTTCGATTCCCGGTCAAGGGCTCATACCTGGATTTTGGGTTCAATTCCCTGCCCTGATTGGGGCACATGCAGGAGGCACCGAATGGATGTGGCCCTCTCACATCCATGTTTCTCTCTCTCTCCCTTTCTCTCTTCTCCCTCTGTTTCACCTCCTCTCCCCTCCCTTCTATTCTCTCAAAAAAAAAAAAAATCAATGGGAAAAATATCCTCTGGTGAGAATTAACAAACAAAATAACAACAACAAAAAAGAATCAACCAATGAATGCATATTTAAGTAAAACAATATCTCTCCCCACCCCCTACCCCCGCCCAGATTTCTCCCCTCAAAATCAATTTTTTTTTTTTTAAATGCCTAGAGAAGATACAGTCCTAGGCTGGGAAGGTTAACACTTTAACGCCCAGTGCTACCATGTGTGGAAGAACTTACAAAGGTGGGGCAGGTGTTTACATGCCGCCTCCTCATTGAAAAAGTAGAAACTTTACCCAGAATTCACTCGACGACGGAGGGGGCACAAGCCCCCTTGTCCCCACCACCTACAGGATCCGGAGCCAGAAGAAAGCTGGTGTTTGCCGCAACTGAGGGGCACCAGCTCTTTTCCTGGGTCTCCGCAAAAAACCCCACAAAACTCTGCCTGCTCTGATGGCTATTCCAAGTTCTGTTCTGATCTTAAAACGCCCCAAGTGCAATATTCTGTAAGTCTCCATATTTTAAAAGCGCCCTCAGATGCTTGCTCATAATTCCCAGTTCTGATGGCTGGTGATGGTGTTTGCCGCAACTGAGGGGCACCAGCTCTTTTCCTGGGTCTCCGCAAAAAACCCCACAAAACTCTGCCTGCTCTGATGGCTATTCCAAGTTCTGTTCTGATCTTAAAACGCCCCAAGTGCAATATTCTGTAAGTCTCCATATTTTAAAAGCGCCCTCAGATGCTTGCTCATAATTCCCAGTTCTGATGGCTGGTGACTTAAAATATCTCTCTCTCTCTCTCTCTCTCTCTCTCTCTCTCTCTCTCTCTCTCTCTCTCCTGCTCTCTCCTCTCTCTCCACACACACACATGCCCCCCAACCTTTTCCACGATTTATTTTTCTTCACAGCACTGTCACTCTCCGACATACTGAAACCAGACACAAAATCAAGTCTGTCACTGCCTGTCTCTACTGAGTCGAGGGGGCCCAGCAAGGGCCAGGGTGTCTTGGATGTGGATGAGAACCAATCCTAAGGCCAGCATCCCTGGCACACCTGCTGAGCACAGCTGCTGTGTCCTTGAAGCTGTCCTGAGGGTCCTCCTGAAGGTCCCCGTGTGTTTTTGTTGTTAATTTTCACCAAAGGGTATTTTTTCCATTGATTTTTAGGGAGACTAGAAGGGAGGAAGGAGGGGTAGAGAGAGAGAAACATCGACATGAGGTGAAATATTGATTGGCTGCCTCCCGCACTCCCCCTACTGGGGATCAAGCCGCAAACCCCAGACATGTGCCCTGACCAGGAGTCGAACCGTGACCTCCTGGTTCATAGGTCGACGCTCAACCACTGTGCCACACCGGCCGGGCTCTGGTGACCTTTGGGGTGAATGAGCACACAGAAGCTAGAATCCCTTGGTTATGCCCTCCCTAGGGAGCCGCACGACCACACCTTCGGGGGTGGGGGACAGCCTCCCACACCACCAGCCAGGTGGGCAGCACCCCAGCTTCCACCAGGCGAATCCACGCAGCCAGCAGACGGCACTGCGGGGCCCGGGTCGTGGGGGACGGTGCAGGCGCACCCCGAAGCAGCCCGACCCAGAGAAATCCTTCACCCCAGGGAAGGTCACAGGGCTCTTTCCACACCCCGACCCATCACCCATCGTCATTTTTTATCAATCGCTTGAAGGAAGGCAGAAGGGAAATGTTTATCTAATCCCAGGACGACAAGCTCCCGGGAGAGACGGCAAAGGCGACGGCTGCGACAGAGGCGAGAGCTAAAAAGATCAACAGATGGGGGTTGCCGTTGAGAGGAAGTTATGTGTTTGGAGAAAGAGACACCAATGATGAGAATCATGGATCGGCTGCCTCCTGCATGCCCCGCCCTGGGGATCGAGCCCGCAACCCGGGCCTGTGCCCTGACTGGAAATTGAACCGTGACCTCCTGGTTCCTAGGTCGACGCTCAACCACTGAGCCACGCCGACCGGCCGGGCTGTGTCCACACTTTAAAAGAGAAGACAGTGGGTAGGACTACAACCAAGGGACAGGCAAGATGGAGCGGGGATTCACTAACCCGTGACCTAGTCCTGGGTCCCCAGATGCAGCGGGGAAGGCGGGGGTAGACACCAAGCCTGCGAGGGCCCCCAGGGAGGAGGGCTGGGGAGATTTCTATGGGATCCGGACAGGGGCGAGCATCCCAGGGCGAAGGGATTGGGGGCTGGCTGGCTGGCTTGACTCCGTGTGGAGACTAAATACAGGACCACAGAGATGAGGACTGTACCACCTAAATATAATTAATAACTAATGACTTAGAAATGTTGCCAGCTGAGCCCGGCCGGCGTGGCTCAGCAGTTGAGTGTCCGCCTAGGAACCCACTCGCGCACTCGGGTGCCGCGTAACCACCCCCTCTCCAGCCGGGCCCGGAGGAGGAGAGCGTCCACGGGATGGGCACGAAGTGGGAGGTCCCACAGCCCTCGGAACTCGGGCGGGACGCGCGCCCCAGAAGGATGTTTCTCTCTCTCTCTCTCTCTCTCTCTCTCTCTCTCTCTCTCTCTCTCCCCCTTCTTCTCTGAAATCAATAACAATATAACCTCTCTCTATAAAAAGAATCTCCCTACCATGTAGGGTCTGCTGACGATCCTTGCAGCTCTATGCTGGGCTCTCCCGGCCGAGTGACGGGGATGATGTAACCAACACCCCTGACAGCAGGAGACTACGGCGAGGCCCTAACTTGCCTTCTGAGTCATCGTTCAGCTGCACTTGGGCTCTCCCTGCAGCTAATCGGTGCTAAGACGTTGGATGAGTCCTTTCTGATTCATCAACCTGTGACCTAGCCCTGGATCCCCAAGATCTAAAAGCCTCCTGGGTCATCTGTGTCCATCACTGCTTCTCCTTGAAAGGGACATAACACACACACACACACACACACACAGTCCTAGCCAGTGTGGCTCAGTGGAGAGTCAGCCCATGAACCAAATTCCTCCGATTTGATTGGAGGAGGCAACCAATCGATGTGTTTCTCTCACATCGATGTTTCTCTCGGTCTCTCCCTCTCTCTTCCACTCTCTGTAAAAATCAGTGGAAAAATATCCTCGGATGAGGATTAAACACACCCGCGCACATACACACACATGCACACGCACAGAACGGTAATGATCGAGAGAGAGGAAACAGCCCAGTAAATATGAAAAACGGCTATTCTGTTTTGCTTTTAAGAGCAAGTGACTTAATTTCACTAACATTGATTTTTTTTTCCGGGGCGATTTAATTTCACCAACACCGGCTGAGTTCCTGATGTTCCTCGGCAGTGACATCTGGGCCGGCCGCGGCCACCATGCACAGCGCAGAGGGAGAAAGGCGGTTGGGGGGAGGGGGTTTGCCCAGCTACGCGTGAAGGAGGGCACCTCTGAGACTAAGCCTGGCTTCTCCCTTAGGTCCTGGGTCTCTCGAACAGTCCGATAAAGCTGGGCCACTTGTCTAAAAAAAACAAAAACAGTGGCCCCAGCCGGTCTGGCTCAGGGGATAGAGCGTCAGCCTGT